TGATGATGATGATGATGATGATGATGATGATGATGATGATGATGATGATCATAATCATGATGGTGAGGAAGAAGAAGATGATGATGATGATAATGTTCGTTTTATTGGAAGGATTTGCGTCAGTGCTGAGGGTGTTGGTGGCGATTTTTAATGGTATTCCTAGTGGTTTATGTGGAGCAATTTATATGAGATGTATTCACCCAATTTTATTTGAGAGGATGAAGGACTGGTAGAAGAAGAATTTTCCAACAAATGATATGAGTTGAGCTGACGTTTCCATTCAATTTCACATAGCTATGCTTTCCCAACAGTTGTTCTCATCCAGGCAGGAGTGGACTACAGATTCTACATCTCATACTACTGATTTACTGTTAGTCTCGAAACAATATTTAAATGCGTAAAATATACTCAGATTACCCTGACTACTAACTATCAAAATTATCCTATATCTAGCTACCTTTAGAAGAATTTATTTTTATTATATTCGCGTTTAAATATTGTTTCGAGACTACCAGTAAATCAGTAGTATGAGATGTATTCACTCAATTTCGTTTAAGGTGATGAAAGACTGGTAGAAATAGAATTTTCCAACAAATGATATAATTTGAGCTAATTTTTTCATTCAATTTCAAATAGCTTTGCTTTCCTAACAGTTGTTCTCATCCAGGCAGGAGTGAACTACAAATTCTACATCTCATACTACTGATCTACTGTTAGTCTCGAAACAATATTTAAATGCGAAAAATATACTAAGATTACCCTGAGAACTAACTATCAAAATCATCCTAAATCTAGCTTCCTTTATAATAATTTATTTTTGTTATATTCGCATATAAGAATTGTGGAGACTACCAGTGAATGAGTAGTATGAGGCGAATTCACCAAATTTCGTCTGAAGCAGACTTTGGCTGGAAAGCTTAGCAACAATCTTGTCTGCAAACAGTCAATTGCATATATTTCACATATTCACGCCAACTGTTGTAGACCCCCAAAGCGGAAGACTGCAAAATCCACAAATGTCATGCCCTTGTCGGGATCAAGCGAGTCTTGCCTCTCGTCACGTCATTGGTGGGGCACATTTCTCGCCTGAACCGCTCCTGACGTCGGAGCTGGCGAGGACAACTCTTCTGATGTTGTCGTTGCTGGTTGTAATGTCGGCGGTTGTGGCGTCGAGGCTTATGATGCTTATGGGGCTTATTTCAGCATTGTTTTTGATGTTGATCATGAAGTTTCTGCTTCTTTTTCTTACTCTTCTTCTGCTTTTTCTTTTTCTTTTGCTTCTGCTTCTTCTTCTGCTTTTGCTTTTTTTCCTTATTCTTCTTATGCTTCTGCTCCTGCTCGTTCTTATGATTTTTTTTCTCCTGCTTATTCTTTTTCTTCTTCTTCTGTTTTATGCTTCTTCTTCTGTTTTTGCTTCTTTCTTTTATTATTATTATGCTTCTACTTCTGCTTATTCTTATACTTTTGCTTCTTTGGCTTTTTCTGCTTCTGCTTCTTTTTTTTTCTACTTTTTTCTTCTTTTTTTGCTTTTGCTTCTTCTTTTTCTTCTTCTTCTGCATCTTATCCTTGTTCTTCTTATTCTGCTTCTTCTTCTTCTTTTTCTTTTTGCACTCCTCTTCACTCAACCTTGGAGAGAACAAGGCCAAGGCAATACCAACAAAATGTAAGTGCTAGGATCAAGGCAAGAAGCAGATAAAGAAGCTTCGGAAACCAAGCGAGGACACTTTCACCGAGCGTAGTCTGCTCGAAGAAATGGTAAACTTTGCAAGCCTGGTTGTCACGGAAGCACGGAGACGCATAGTCACAAACGCTGGAGGAGCTCGGCATTGCAGCTGGTAGCTCGAAGGCAAATTGACCAGAACTACAAATTAAGACACTGACGACAACCAAAGACAGACGTTGCCAGTTTGTTTAGAGTACGTGGATTGGTACCTGCAACATGGGCATCACAGCCTAAAGGGTCTGCCCGGTGTAGCCAAAAGCTTATGGCAGACCATGAAAAAGAGAGTCTCACGTCTGCGTGCAGTGGAATGAGGTGAAATCACTCAACCGGAACGATCGTAAACTAGTCTGTGAGAAGACTATGGAGACCCGGAAAGGAGGTCTCAGTTGGATTGGCCAATCGAAATTGAGGGGAGGAGGCGGGAGAGGAGCAAAGTAAACAGGAGGTGGCAACACAGGACAGTAAACTGACCGGAAAGTGGACAGGTCTTGAGGACTCGAATGAAAGGAAATACAAAGTACGGGATAGGCCAAGTGTGAGAAAATAGCATCGGAAGTAGAAGTGGCAAATAAGAGTGCGGCTAAGAGTGGCAAGACGCAATGAAATGTACCAAGCCTTCTTCTTCTTCTTGTTTTGTTTCTTCTTCTGCTTTTGCTTCTTCTTATTCTGCTTCTTGTTCTGTTTCTGCTTCTTCTTCTTTTTCTTCTGCTTCTTTTTTTCTTTTACTTCTTCTTCTGTTTTTGTTTCTGCTTCTTCTTCTTCTTTTGTTTCTTCTTCTGCTTTTGCTTCTTCTTATTCTGCTTCTTGTTCTGTTTCTGCTTCTTCTTCTTTTTCTTCTGCTTCTTTTTTTCTTTTACTTCTTCTTCTGTTTCTGTTTCTGCTTCTTCTTCTTCTTTTGTTTCTTCTTCTGCTTTTGCTTCTGCATCTGCTTGTTCTTATTATTTTGCTTTTTCTTCTGATCCTTCTTCCTTTTCTGTTTCTGCTTCTTTTCTTCTTCTTCTAATTTTGCTTCTTCTTCTGCTTCTTCTTCTTCTTCTGAATTTGCTTCTTCTTCTTTTAATGCGTCTGCTTCTGCTGCTTCTTGTTCTGTTTCTGGAGTGAAATCACTCAACCGTAAGAATCGGAAACTAGCCTGTGAGAAGACTATAGAGACCCGGAAAGGAGGTCCCAGTTGGATTGACCAATCGAGATAGAGAGGAGGGGGCGGGGGAGGAGCAAAGTAAACAGGAGGTGTGATGAGGCGACAGTAAACTGACCGAAAAGTGGACAGGTCTTGAGGACTCGAATGAAAGGAAATACAAAGTACAGGATAGGCCGAGTGTGAGAAAAGAGCATCGGAAGTAAAAGTGGCAAATGAGAGTGCGGCTAAGAGTGGCAAGACGCAATGAAATGTACCAAGCCTTCTTCTTCTTCTGCTTTTGCTTCTTCTTATTCTGCTTCTTCTTCTTTTTCTTCTGCTTCTTTTTTTTCTTTTACTTCTTCTTCTGTTTCTGTTTCTC